TTGACACCTTGAGCACGTCCCGATACGTCAGACTGATCCGAATCTCCCTCTCATACCAACCACACTGATAACGATCCGGTTCACGCAGCAGATCCCAATTGCAGATGGTGTCAGCACTTAGGTTATCGTCCTTGCGGGTCTCTGCAATGCCGTGCAAGAAATCTGTGTAGATACTTCGCCTCGTAACCAGAAGGCTGCGCCTCTCCTGCAAGATTCGATACTGGGGCTGCCCAGCACCACTCACCCCGCTGTTGTTTCCATCGTTGCTTGAACCAGGCTTTGGATACAGATCTAGTACAATCGGTGCTCCCAGACTCACGGTCGCAACCAGGGGATAGTACGCGGCTCCATCTTCATGCGGCATGATTCCTTGGCCGGGACAGTATTCGTTCACCAGGACATGGTTTGGGGCGCCGTGAGGGGCGTCTGCGAAAATGCCAAGAGAGTTCAAACGAGGGTCGATGATAGGTGAGACGAGCCATGAGGGCAACGGCGACGCGATAAGAGTGTTCGACGCGGTCAGAGCAGAGGGCCATGTTTGAAGACGTCGGTGGGAGAGCTGAGTCCATCGGGGAAGAGGAGCAGTGGTAATCTTCTAACATTAGCGCTGTTATTGCAGGTTATGGTGTGCAGTTGGTAAACATGAGCGATTGATGGATCATCACTAGCTCTCTACCAGCGCTACATTGGCCAGTCACACTACGGAGCTACACACTTGTGGTCGCGAAACATACCTTCTGCAGCAGCAACTCCTCCTCTTCCTCAGTGATAAAGTCTGCAATGTAGAATGCGTCATCCGGCAAGGACTTGATCCGGGCTACTTCCAGATTGGGCTCCATTGCAGCTTCTCAACCCATTAATGCCTGAAGATAACACCAGCATCAGTCTCATTGGAACCCATGGTCGCCCTTCAGTGACAAGTCATAACAACAACATCAGCTCTGATCGATGATACTGTAGAGCCAAACATACCAGCTCCGAAAGTGAAAAACAGTACAGCTCATGAGCGTGCCTCGAGGCTTAAATCAAAATACCTCTCGTAGTGCAAACGAGAAACAGAGAATCCACTGTCGTCATCAACGGTTCCCATCTGGTACATAAACCGTAGAGCTGTCAGCCTGTCTGCCTCAGGCTGCTAACCAGACCCCACCAAACCCCACTCTCCTACTCTGGCAATGCATCAGTCTTGAGAAGCATCACTGTCGGCGCAAACCCTAAAGATACTTCCAGCTACAGCTTCTAGCCAAGTCTAATCTTCAAAGAACTTCAGTTACTACTATATCGATCCCGGGACTCAGACCTAAGCTTTCAGCTGCATCGACTTCCCAACAACTCAAGCATCGACATCAAGGATGGCCCCCAAGAACAACGCCAAAGGAGGCGACAAGAAAGGCAAGGGGAAAGATGCGTCTGAGGGGGACAAGGGGAAGGGAGGAGGAAAGGGGTTGAAGCCCGCTACGTCGATTAATGTCAGACATATTCTTGTACGTAAATTTTTTTTTGTGGTCTATTGCTTCACACAATTGCACTTGACTACAACTCTATTCCATGTATAATTCCCAGCTACTTCTAGACTAATACTTGCAAACTAGTGCGAGAAATTCTCAAAGAAGGAAGAAGCGCTTGAGAAACTGCGCAACGGGGCAAAATTCGACGATGTTGCGAGGGAGTACTCGGAGGATAAGGCTCGGCAAGGTGCGTTTCTGTTTCTCTCTTCTTCTTTCTTATTCGGACCGATGGAGCTACTTGGTGCTGATGGACGGTAGGCGGCTCTCTTGGGTGGAAAGTCCGAGGCAGTCTCAACGCGGACTTCGAGAAGGCTGCGTATGAGCTTGAGCCCAGTACCACGGCGAACCCAAAGTATGTGGAGGTGAAGACCGGATTTGGGTACCATATCATCATGGTTGAAGGGAGGAAGTAGCCTCGTTTCCTATGGCCATTTTATCTTAACAGTTGAGCGTTTTTACATTAATACCTCCGAATGAATGCAGAATCTCCTGAACAGCCTTAGTAAAAAAAGGATCTCTACGGGGAAATGAAGATCTATTATGTGTGTATATATGTACAATAGACGTCGAACAGATCAAACGGCCTACTCCTTCTTTCCAGCTAATGACTTCGCCCGTTCCTTGGCTTGCTTCTCCCGCTTCTGCACCACGGCTTCAGCCCCGATGCCGCCGAATACAAGGCCGATGCCGAGCCACTGGCCTCCGGACAACGAGTGTCCAAACCAGAACACGCTCAACAGCATGGTGAGCATCTTGCGCGTGACGGTCACAGTCACCAGGAGCAAAGACGAGAAGCGAGAAAGCGTATAGAAAATAAAAAGCTGGCCGATGGCTCCGCAGGCGGCAAACCCGAGCACGTTCTTCATCACCTCTGGGTGTCGTGAGAGGAAAGAAAAGGCGGATGCAAGCTCGGTTTCGGTCGAAGGTGGAATGGGGATGGGAAGAAGAGCATGCAGGACGCCGGTAGAGGACAGATGGGGCATGACAAGCAAGTAGGTGGTGGTCAGGATTGTCGAAAGGACGTTCTGCGCTACCATCATCTGCGGTCCGGTGAAGCGCGTGTAAATTTGCGGTGAGCTAAAGACATGGTCTTGGGTTGTGTTCGTGAGGCCGTCCAGAAGGAGGTTGATTGAAAGCAGGAAGATTCCATACAGAGATGAGCCGGACTGGTTCTTCGCTGCCGACGCGGCAACCTTCTTGCTGGTTCCAGGGTGGTGGAGGGTGAAAGTTGCGACTCCAAGGGTAACCAGCAAGACAACGCCGTACTTATACAACGGATATGTCTTGCGGAAGATAGTCAAGTGGAGGAACATCACAGGCAGAAGCTTGCATGACTTGGCCAGAATAAAGGTCAAATAGTCGATGTGCGCAAGACTGGCATATCCAAAGGGCGACGCCAGTGACGAGGAGATGCTGACCAGGAGCAGAGGGAAGAGAATTTTGCGGGTCGGGAAGATGGACGGAACCTTCTTGCCCGCCGGAGTAGAGAAATAGAGGTAGAGGAAACCAGTGATCGCAGCAAAGGTGGATTGTATGGTATTAAGAACGATCGAGAAGGTGAAGCGCTCCGTCGGCGGGTTTGGTTCTTCGGCAGTTGGAGGACGGACTGGGAAGTTGACTGTAGTAATCGCCTCTTGAAGAACACCCCATGACAGACTTCAAAAGTATTAGACAATGGATATAGAGAAGATAATCATGCGCTGCAGATAAACCACTTACAATGACGCATAAATACCCAGGACACAAAGCGCAAGTTGCGTCAATCCCGGAGTCTCCAGGGGAGCTTCAGGCGCTTGTCGTTTCGTCGAGGCAGACCCATTCAGGGCAACAGGCTTCTGAGCACTGCCATTCTGTTGCGTAGACATTGTCTCGGATTCTTCAGGCACAAGGTGCATCAATTTGGAAGATGTAGCCCGTTGTAAAGGCACTGCCTGTTTTTGGCGTGCCATGAGCGCAATTTAGATATGTGTACAGAATGATGGAATGCAAGACAATGAATCATGCGAGAGATAAGTCAAGATCAGTAACACCTTTGCTTGGAATAAGACTCGAAGACACAAACGGAGCTGATGAACCAAAAAAGAAGAAGAATATCGCAGGGGGGTCACACTCTCATTTCGAAACACAGGCCGTTGATGCCATGTGTTCTGTTCCTCTTTTGCCAAAAACGCGCTGCGCGGAATTTCGGCGCGATCGCCCTAAATTTTTCCCTCTCCGCCTGCAAGACTCCATCGCTGTTCTCCAGCCCCGCAGGTCAAGCAATACTGATCACTTCTTACATCGAGTATCACTGTGATATGATTATTTGTGTCTAAGAGGATAGATACGGCCCATTGAGAGTAAGCAATGACCATTAATTATTCATCCCAATACGGAATACAGTGGCTCTCTAAACCTTCAAAACCTCCATAGACTGATAAGCATCGTTATCTAGAATTAAAACCACCAATTTCTGCTACAACATCCACACAAGACAAGCTCAGCAACTCACCATGCCAACTGTACTCACATCAACATCCCAGGCGCCAAAGCCCTCGGCCCTCACCACCCTCTTAACCTCCACGTCCGCCTCCTCGAATCCTCACTCCGCAACTGCGATTCAAGTCCTCCACAACCTTCAACATCAGCATCTTTGGACCTCTCTCCAAATCCATGACTTGCAAACATCCAGTTTCTCCGTCTCATCGTCGTCGGCGTCAACATCTACAGACCAGCTTTCCAGCTCATCCTCCCTTCTGATCTCCGGCATCCCGCCCCACAGAATCTATACGCATCCAGACGAGCAGCTGTTCATGCTCGAGAGGGGTCTTCGCGAAGATGACATCGAGCTGGAACGTATGTTCGTCGTTCCCACCGCTCACGGACAGTCATTCAGTCTGCGCAAAATGGCTGCCGTGTTCGATGCGCTTCCCGAGGACGAGGAAGAGTCGAATGCTCAGTCGTTAGATGATGCCAAAGAATCTGGTAATAATGCTGAGAAGGCGGCGAAGCTGACAGAGTACTATGAGTACAGACGAAAGGCTCGGGTCACAAAAGAGTGGGGTGGGAAGAGACTTCTCTTGGCCATGGTTGATCGAAGCATGGGTGGTGATGGTACCGTGGTGTACTATGTCGTCCAGGAGGGTGCTGTGAAGCCAAGACAGAATTAAATGAGGTTGGGACGACCGTACACTCCATCGAGATGTACAGGGATATGGGATCTGGCTGGTACCGATCCATATCCATGGTTACGCTTGAAATCTGTCCTACAAGCCAGCAGCACACTGCATCTTGGCATTCCACAAACCATTCGAACTCGCTTGAAGCTCGAAACATCAGAGCTATATACCAGCAGAGAGCTGGACTGCGAACATATACCAGAAATCGCCCACTCGATCAAGCCAGTAAGACAAAGATAACCTCCAACATCAGTTCAATTGTAACGGGGTATCGTTCAGAACGTATCGATCCGTCCGGAGTAAACAAAACGAACAAGCAACCCCTATGTACCTCCTAAATACCATATACAACACCGCTCCTCTCAAGCTGCTCCTGTTCCACCTGGCAACTGGTACAGTATTTATCGTACCACTGCTGAACGTCACCCGCGAGGTCTGCAAAAACAGTTTGACTTGCTTGGTCAACCCCCGTGTTGAATCCGTCATCCTCCTTATCCTTTCCGAGAAGGTTTTCCACTTGGTGGCAGCGTCTCAATTCCTGCCGGAGCCATCGCTCCCACTCGCCTTGAATGACCTCTCTTTCAATGCTGTTCACTACCCGGAGCGCCACTAACAAGTTGTGTCTATACATAGCGAGTCGCTCGCGGGTTTGATGGATCCGCCTGGCCGCACTTCGTGTCACTGAGTCTCGAGGACCTGAGGCGCCAAAGGAAAGGACTGTCCCCTGGTCGCTCACTGTCTGCTGGTAGAACGTAGAGAAACATTTACTCATGTTGTTGCTAGATTGGCCGACAGTGGCATTAGCAATCACCTCGTCGATATCCCTCATATAGACGGCTTTGCTCATCACATGGTTGGGACCGACTCCAAGACGAGCCATGAAGTTTCCCACGTTCCTCTCATGCCACCAATCATAAGTGTACCGTGAAGTGAAGAGTCCGTTCATCAAAGCGCTGGAGATCAGGAGGGCTAGAATGATCATGTTTGCATTCGTAGTTTTCCAGGTCCAGCGAAGGAAGGCAAAAGTCCACATGATTATGGACGAAACGGCGCTCTCCAGGAAGGAGAGAAGCGTCTCTAGTAAGAGTTGAGTTAGGGTCCTCTGATGCCGAGGCTTTCGAGGTTCAAGTTTCAGAACTGATTCGCTTGACGAAAATTGAGATGTATGTTGTTGGCGTCCGATGTGACCGAATATGGTGATGGCCTTTTTTGTTCGGCTATGGAAGCCCAATTTTCGCACCTGATCGCTGACAAGATCAACGAGGTCCAGCGCGTCTTGCTCCAAGTCACCTGTTGCTTGCTTCTCGATGATCCCTGGAAATAACTTAGTGATCGTGCGGGACAATAGTCTCGCGAGTGCTAATGAACCACTTACTCTGGAGGCCATTAGGAGACCCAAGCCACTCCACTTTCGTGTATACTGCAAGCTTGCTTTTCCCCTTCGCGACGAATGTAATCACAATCTTGCTCACCAACCTGAACGAGCGCTTAAAGGGAAGGTGCCACGGAGTTCGCTTGTCGGTCACCACGTAGCATAAGTGATCATTGAGAACATCAATGATTTGGTAATCAGAAATCGTCTTGTCCTGAGTGCGTCCTACATGAAGGGGACCGTCAGTCACTTGCTAAGCGGTGATGAGCAGAGATACGTACCAAGCAAGTCGGTTGTCTCGATATGATATTCAAAGTCACGTCGCAAATGCCGAGATTCGTTTCTGATCCACGGCCCCTGTTTGATATCTTTCATATCGGTCAGCCAAAGGTTACCCGAATCATTTGGGGGGACGAACCTCGCGATCTTCTTTCGTGCAAAAGGAGTTGCCAAACAGCACTCTTGTCGCCGAAAAGGATATGGAATATCGCCTTCGGACTAATATCGAATATCTTCTCTGCAGCGAGGTGGAGGTTGCCTTGGGGAACATACTGAACAGGTTGTGTTGGCAACCGGAACTTTGGCGCATTTTTGCCGTGTTTGCCGTTCTTTGAATGCGGATCCAAGTCATAGTCGATGTAAATAGGTCGGCGGATATCTTTTTGCTGTCCGGCAGCAATGTTGTCCTCTTCGATACCATTCTTGTCATCCGAAACGGCCGCATCTTCCCAGCTGTTCAGGCTAGGGCTACGGTTCCTCGTGTCCGTCTCCATTCTGATCAGAGTCTTGAAAATTGCTTCCAACCCCATGGGTTCCACCGCGGTTGAATCTTGAATCAAAAAATTCAGGCGTCTTTGAAGAAGTCTTAGAGGCTCAAGGAATGTTTTCACCGTGACTCGTCCGGGAGTATCCTCACCAAGAGGCGGGATAGTATGGAGGAATAAGAAGTCGCAGTCTCTGCCAGGTGCAGCAGTCACTTCCTTGATGCTCTCCAGCGGGACACCTGTGGTTAGAACTAATCCAAAATAATGACTGTAAAAATATATGCTGCGAGTGGTAACGTATGCTCTTCCAGGAAATTCTTGCTGATCGTTGGGATTCCATGTAGCTCGGAAGACCATGACCAAAGGCTCCTCTCTTTTGACGTCGGGAAAGAGCAGACGAAACTGAGCATCCTGAGGTCGAAGCTGCTCGGGATAGTAACTGGGATACTCATGCGAAATACCCAGAATTGCCCTCTGCACCTTGGACGCATCGCCGTCAAGACTAACAGTCTGCCTATGGCGAGGGCCAGAGATCTGCTGCTTGGATGCTGATGTGCCGTTGGTCAAATCTACGTCAGATGATTGCGGTTGCTTTGACGAATCAATCGCCGGCGTTGATGGTTGTTGTCCCACAGAAGCTCCCACGCCGGCCCCTGCAAGCTGAGCATCACGTTCGCGTTCGAGTCGGTTCATGAAGCCCCAGTTGGAACTACCCCACAGGTTGGCCATCATACCGCTAGGCATCCCGCCTGTCTTGTCGGCTTGCCCCAACCCAATACCTCGTTCATTGCTGACGATTACAGCCGCCTTGCTCATACTGGTAGGGGCGGGTGGATTCGCCAAGGTGGAAGGTGCGAGTGTCGTAGGAGGAAGGTTCCGGTTCGTCAAACTGCGACTTCTGCTTCCATCATCGGTCCCGCCGACGGAGAGACCGTTGCTATGCCCTAGAGTGATATGGCTGGAGGAGATCAGGCCTGCGATACCACCACCTGCACCGGGCAGAGATATAGAAGGTGGGACAACATTATTGTTGGACTTGCGGTGGAGATCCAATTTCTGAATGAGTCTGGAAGTATGGTCTCGCGCAGAACTCTCGGGATCCAACCCAGTCATGCGCCTAGGGCTGCCGAGATCGCTGCTGTTTCGGAAGGCTGATGGGTCCCGCTCTGGAACTGACAACCCTCCGCTACGATCCGATGGTCCATGCTCATCATTTGCGTGCGGCGTGAGCGAGTCGGCCGGATCAGCAGCAAATTCAGGCGCTGGAGGCTGAGAGATTGCAAAGGCTGGATCTTGAACAGTAACCTTTCCGGAAACCGAGATGTCGGTGCTTGTCGGGTTTTCCAGTGCTTTTCGTTTAGCTGCTTCAAATGCAGCAATCCATTCAGTGAGCTCTTTCTGAGTCTCGGCCTGCAGTACTATGGTGTTGCTCTTGGTCTTCACTTCGAAGCAGAATCTTCGTTCCTCCTGGAAAGCAGGCCGTATACTGCACAATAGCACGCCTATACGCTCGCTTTCTTCAACCCCCCCAGTTCGAGAACCCTGCACGAGGCAACCAAAGATACCGTTCTTCAAAAAGGCCCAACGTCTCAGCCAAACAGTACGTGTTGGTTTGCCTGACAATGTTCGCAGATAAACCCAGCCTTGTTTCTCGGGCCGTGCTTCCTTAGGCATGTTCAGGTCCGACAGAGGGCGAGACCCTAGATACGGAACGGTGGATACTGAATAGTCTTCCAGCTCTCGAGACGGCCTGAAAGCCAGCTCTGCAGCGTCTTCAATATGCTTTCTGGCGGAAAGAAGCTCACGCTTTGAGAACTTCTCGCTGCCCTCCATTTCATGGATCCAACCTTTTATGCGATCCATCTCTTGGCCCCATTTGGCAAACGATGCACCATTGTCATTATGGAGGGCCTTAAATTCCCTCCACTGATCGAAGGAAACTCGGACTAACAGTCGATCGAGCGAGTTTCGTATTTGTGGTGCTTGCACTGAAAAGTCCATTGACGCTTTCAGGTAGGCTTTGCGGGCTTCGTGGAGCTGGAAAGCATCTTCTCTCAGGGACGAAGGTTCTTTTGATTTGGACTGTGAAGCATATCTAGATAGAAGGGAATCGTACTGCTTCTGCGCTTGTTCGAGGGTGCGACGAGTCTCCTGTAGCGGGGTGAGATGACGCTCCTCTCATGCTTTCAAAAGGGGCCGGGGACACTCAGTTTACCTTGAAACTCCGTAAATCATCGTGAACGAAAGTTCTTATAGGCTCTGATACAAGCGATTCCATTTTCTTCGCAGTGGCCATTAAACCATTCCACAGATCTTTCGAGCTCTCACCACACCTGCTCATTGCCTGTAAGGTATAATCATGGTCGAGGGCAGCTTCGGAGACGATGGGAGGGTTCGAAGAATACGCCAGAAAGGTATTCATCACATTTTCTATGGTCGCAAGCTCCGTGACGAGCTTCGAAGCAGCCTTCGCATAGCCATCCAGCCATCTTTCAAGGTATTCGATTTGCTCGGAGAAATGAAGTGTGGTGGCCCGAAAAGTCGGGGAATCCAGAGCAGCCTCTTTCAATCCAACGGGCCTATATCGACGCCATCAGGTTAGCATTGGGATGAGGAATCTCGTCATCCGCACTTACACCACACTAATAAGCTTCCCAACTTGGGACAATGCGGTCTGCGGCTGAGTCGACATCTAGCGAATATCCCCGGCCATACATTCGATACAGATAGGGGTAATGGTGTGATAGATCGAAAAGTACGACCCCAAAGATTGAAAATAGCGACTTAGTGGGCCAGTCATACGGGGTGAATACACACGTGAGCAAAAGAAACGCTCATGTCGAGAAGAGAGCTCCTGCAACTCTCTCTTCAAGCCATCCGGGGTCAACAGCCCATCCATGATCTAATTGGCTACGTCAGTACTCCGTTGTTGTGGCCTGCGTTTTCAGGCAGTAAGGAGCGGACGGCAGGCGGTGAGCACCGGATGAATATTTTTTCTTTTTCTGCCAGCGACTCCAACTTTTCCAATTTGAAGAGCGTTCCACAATTCTGCTGAATCGGCTGCTCTCAGAACATTTGCGTCCTCCTCCCTTTCTTACCTATTTGAATTGGGCGAAGATGGAGCCTCCAGCGAAGAAACCACGCAAGCTTCTTGACGATGACAGCTCCAGCGATTCGGGAGACGAATCTGGCGGAGTTCCCATCACCGCTCAGTCGGAGCCTGCATTCAAGATCAACGAAGAATATGCCCGTCGTTTTGAACACAACAAGAAACGGGAAGAGTTGCAGAAATGTAAGTCTCCATTTTCTGAAATTAATATCTCATTGGTAACACAAATCTGATATTTGTTACAGTGGAATCGAAATTAGGAAAGACTTCAGCGCTCGGGAAACGCCATGATCGTGACGAAGATGACTCCGACGGTTCGGAAGAGTCGTCGTCAGACGAAGAAGAAGACGAAGATGGGGAGTTGGTAACGCCGGCTGTTGATGCAGAAATTATGGCGACACTAAACGCAATTCGATCAAAAGATCCTCGTGTCTACGACAAGGACGCCAAATTTTACACAGCCCTCGAAGAAGAAGAAGAAGAAAACGCAAACACTGGAAATACAGAGAAAAAGCAAAAGCCCATGACGCTTCGAGACTACCATCGGCAAAATCTTCTTAGCGGTGCCAATCTGGAAGAGGACGACACCTCCGATGCTCCGAAGACCTACGCTCAGGAACAAGAGGAGTTGAAGAATGCTATTGTTAAAGAGATGCACGCCACCGCTGATCAAAATGACGAGGATAAGGACGAGGATGGGGAATTCCTGATCCGGAAATCGAAATCCACTACCAAGTCAGCCTCGGAACCCAAGGAGGAAATTAAGCTGGACGTTGAGAATGCGGACAAGGACCCGGAGACCTTCCTTTCAAACTTTTTGTCTTCCAAGGCATGGATTCCAGCTGGTAGATCCGAGCTGCAGCCTTTCGAGTCTGAGGATGAGGAGGAGTTGGAGCGGGCAGAAGCCTTTGAGGAGGCATACAACTTCCGCTTTGAAGACCCTAGCAAGCTGAACGCGACCCTGTTGACCCACGCTCGTGATAAGACCAACCAACAGTCTGTCCGAAGAGAGGAAAAGAGCGCCAGAAAAAAGCAGCGTGAGGCTGAGCGCATGCAAAAGGAGGAAGCGAAGAAGCAGCGGGAAGCTGAGAAAAACCGTCTTCGCAAATTGAAGATGGAAGAACTTCAGGAGAAGGTCAAAAAGATCAAGGAAGTCGCTGGTTTCCGCGCATCTAAATTCACCGATGAGGACTGGGCACGCTTTCTGGACGAGGCTTGGGACGATGACAAGTGGGAAAAGGAAATGCAGAAACGGTTTGGCGAGGACTACTACGCCGAGGAAGACGCCGCTGGTAGTGATGGCGAGGGCAAGGGCAAGAAGACACGTCCAAAGAAGCCTACATGGGATGATGATATTGATATCAAAGATCTGGTCCCTGATTTTGATGAGGAGGAACCCAAGCCGGCATTGGAGGATTCTGATGTCGAGATGGAGGATGATGCTGATGACACGAACAAGAAGAGCAAAGCTCAAGAGAGGCGGGATCAGAAGCGGGAAGCCCGCAAGGACCGCCTCCGCATCGAGGAGGCAATCGATCGCAACCTAGACCTCGACATTTCTCTTCTACCTGGCGCCACCAAGAAGAACACGACTCGCTTCCGCTACCGCGAGACCTCGCCTCAAAGCTTCGGGTTGACCGCGCGGGACATTCTTATGGCTGATGATGCACAGCTGAATCAGTTTGCGGGTCTGAAGAAGCTCGCTTCCTTCCGTGACCCGGAGAAGAAACGCAAGGACCAGAAGAAACTCGGCAAGAAGGCTCGTCTGAGGCAATGGCGCAAGGAGACCTTTGGCAATGAAGAGGGCCCTGTCTTCAGCTTCGGCGGTGAAAAGCCTGTGGGTAATGCGGAGCAAGCAGATGATGGAGACAAAGTGGATATTCGGGAAGGGGAGTCCAGGAGGAAGAAGAGAAAGAGGTCCAAGAAGCATTGATGTGTTGCTTTTGTTGGAGCTGATGTTTGTCTTATAAATACCACATACAGTTGCCGGAAATGACTTGTTTATAATGAGAACATATCGCGAGGCTCAGAGGCTTCTTTCGTTTCCCTTCGATCTTTCAGGCCTCATCCTTTATCAACAGTAGTTTCACAACGGCTGCATCTTCAACTAGCCTGGATGATTCGGGCCTTGCTACATATCGGTGTTACGGGCTTTTGAGTATTGGAGTCTCGAGTTGAGGCAAACCCGATACTACATTTGAATCGTAGATATTATACTCTGCGGCTCTTCATACAATCTGGTTTGGCCGGCACTGTACGAGGGAAATTCAAGAAGATATCATCACTTATCAGAGGACTTGCCACAGGAGAAAATCGAAGTCCCATATGGAGTATATGGAGTAGAAATCGATCAGTAGAATGTTCTCAGCCCGATATATGGTAAAAGATCGCCCCCCATGTTGTGTGGGTCTTCCCACCCTTTTTCAAGAGCAACTAGGAAACAGCCAAAGGTAGCTTGAAAAAGGTGAGGCGCAAACGCCCGAGAAACCGAAGCTACTGGGAAGGTATTTCACAAATATTTCACAAAGTGACATTTATATTTCCAAAAGGGAGCTTCCGCTTGATGTTACCTATCCATCTACTGAGCGATGGCTATACAATCCCTATTGATATCAACCCTCGTCGGAAAATGCTAGACTAGTCAAGCAGCTTTGACCTCCCGAAACAGAGTGGATGCTACCGAACCGGTCATATACGGTTATAGATACACCGACTGTCCTGTCGAAAATTCAGGTTTGCGAGAAACAGTGCAGTTTCTTCAGCCGAATCGGATCGATCTCATTGCTAAGAATTGTATTTACGCATGGCATTCTAACAATGATTCTTGAGAGAATTCGCTAAGCTCAATTGCAGGGCACGCAATTGACATGCTTGAAGAGAACTATCCACTCTAGGAAACATGTCATAGACAAATAGTGCTCCGTATGTCCTGGAACATCCGCGGCACTGAGGGCCGAAAAGTAGCGACGCATATGACCGGCTTGGTAGACAGTGGATTATGGGGTGTCTACCATCCAAAGAGGATTTACTGGGGTATCCGGACTTTGAAGTCACTTGTATCTTCTATCAGCATTTACGGAATCTACAGGGAGTACTGACGGGTGGCTAACAAGGAAAATTCTGCCATCGGAGACTCGGGACAAGACCAAGAATAGAAATCCTTGAGGCTAAGGTAGGAGATACGTTCCCCGTGAAGAGACTGACTGTGGGCGACTAGGCGGAGGCTCTCCGGGTTACGGTTGGCTTAATGACGGGGAAACTGTGAAGAATTAAGGTACAAGGGAGACATCTATAGATCAACCAAGAGCATTAGTCCTCCTATTACTTATGGTTTACTAGTCAAGCCTGTCCCGAGAAGAGCATTTTTATGAGAATCTTTGTAGAATAAACATCAAGCCCAAGTGACTGTGTGTTATGCATTTTGTGTTATCATTACAATGCTTCTGGTCGATCGGGAATTATCGGCTCTCGTTGCCTGGGCCATCGTTAGCGCCCGGTTCCGAATTTTCTTTTTTTTTCTCTTTCGCTGGCCGTTTGTCCGCTGGCAAAAGGAAAAAATATTGCTGCGAAATTTTTTCCCTTTTACGCTTTGAGGCCAGCAAACCAGAATTTTCCCAGAGCGTCCTAGCGGCTCCACTCGCTTCCACCCGCTTACAAGAGCCCTTCGCTCGCTATTTTTCTTTCCTCCCTTCCCCTTCCCGTTCCCCTTCCTCTTTTTTCTCCTCCCATCCTCTTTGAAGTGTCCTGTTCTTTCTTGACACTCAACCCCATCTCCTCTCTTCGTCTCTTTCTCAGTTTTCGTCCTTTACAGCCGTCAACATGGCCAAGGGTGACGTTAACCAGGCCGAGAAGTCCGTCTTCGGCATGCCCGTAAGTTGTTATTCCAGTCCTGTTTTGGGCAACAACCGGTCGCATCGGATCGAGGTCTCGAAATGATGGCAATGATGGGGAATCAAGTTCTATGAGATGGAAGATCATTGCAATCATTTCGAGGGACTCAATTTGATGACTTCGACGCGGTTTTGCCCTGGAAGCCTTCGAAAACGGCTCGCTGACAGAATTTTCACCGCAGGGATTCGTCGTCGACTTCCTCAGTATGTGCCAACCAAATCAGTCCCGATGATTGTTCAATCTTCGCAGTCATCAATTTGCGACAACGGGATCAGTCTGTCGAGCTTTTACTGACTCTTTTTGCAGTGGGTGGTGTTTCCGCTGCCGTCTCCAAGACTGCTGCTGCCCCCATCGAGCGTATCAAGCTCCTTGTCCAGAACCAGGTTGGTTAACCATCTTCGCTTCCTACCCAATAGTTAGAATGGCTGTCGCTCTGCAAGAAAACAATCGGACAGAGCGAAGTTTTGCGATGACCTATGATGTTTCGTCGCCAAGTTTGGGACAATCGGGTGGTCGCAAAACGTGCCATTCTACGAATCTGGCCGACAATCTACTCAACTGGAATGCGACTAACGCCATTCACTACAGGATGAGATGATCCGTGCTGGCCGTCTCGACCGCAAGTACAACGGTATCGTCGACTGCTTCCGTCGTACCGCCCAGGCTGAGGGTGTTATGTCCCTGTGGCGTGGTAACACTGCCAACGTCATCCGTTACTTCCCTACCCAGGCTCTGAACTTCGCTTTCCGTGACACCTACAAGTCGATGTTCGCCTACAAGAAGGAGCGTGATGGATACGCCAAGTGGATGATGGGTAACCTTGCCTCCGGTGGTGTACGTATACCCTCAGAGCATGTCTCCTGCAGAGATGACTTCAAAACTAACAAACTATTCAGGCTGCTGGTGCCACTTCCCTCCTCTTCGTCTACTCCCTCGACTACGCTCGTACCCGTCTTGCCAACGACGCCAAGTCCGCCAAGGGTGGTGGTGAGCGCCAGTTCAACGGTCTCGTTGATGTCTACCGCAAGACCCTCGCTTCCGACGGTATTGCCGGTCTCTACCGTGGTTTCGGTCCCTCCGTTCTTGGTATTGTTGTCTACCGTGGTCTGTACTTCGGCATGTACGACTCCATCAAGCCTGTTGTCCTGGTTGGTTCTCTTGAGGGTAGCTTCCTTGCTTCCTTCCTGCTCGGCTGGACTGTCACCACTGGTGCTGGTATTGCTTCTTACCCTCTTGACACCATCCGTCGTCGTATGATGATGACCTCCGGTGAGGCCGTCAAGTACAAGTCCTCCATGGATGCTGCTCGCCAGATCGTCGCCAGGGAGGGTGTCAAGTCTCTCTTCAAGGGTGCTGGTGCTAACATCCTCCGTGGTGTTGCCGGTGCTGGTGTCCTGTCCATCTACGACCAGGTTCAGCTCATCCTCTTCGGCAAGAAGTTCAAGGGTGGCTCTGGCTAAACGATTGATTAACTTCGAATCGTTTCCATCGATGCGGCTTCATAGGGGAAGGGGTTGGTCAGTTTCAGGCGTAACTGCCTAAAACTGGACGCTACTGTGGATGGTTATAGAAAATATGCTCCAAGAAGGGTATCGGGTTTCTTGAGCATAAAGCAGTGTGATATTTCCTCGTGTACCCGTTGTACTTTACTGCCTGCAAGCTTTTTCTTTTTTTCTCAATGTGTACTTCTTTCCGGTACGAAAACTGGTTTCTGTTTGGGGTTACTTCCTTGACATTGCCTCTGTAGGTGAAAATTTTCCTCGTAAACACCACGTGTCGTCAATCACGTGATGTGGATCCCATGACGTCGATCAGTACTGCTATCCCTTAAGACAGGAGAGCGCGTCTACCGTTGAGGTTGCTCGGCTGTGTGATTAAAATACCCATCTCAACATGACTACAACCGCGCTTTCTGACGCGACGGCCTCGTCCACATCATCAGCGAAGCAGGACGAACCAGCTCCATCGGAACCTGCATCTGTGTCGGCCACCGCAACAGCACCTCCATACTCTCCGATCTACGCAACTGCCCAGGCTCAACCAGGAAGCATCACAACCATGCCTGCGCCGACTGCACCAACAACGTCTGGCAGTGACGGGTCTCCTCTACCCACACCGACCGAAACGATAGCCACCCCTGCCACGAGAACGAACACCTCGCCTCCTCCCCCACAGCCTGGTGCTCATCCTGATCCTGGAATACCAGCGCCGACGGCTCCTCCAGCTCTGGCTGCATCTTCAGCTCCAGCTCCAGCTCCAGCTCCAGTCCCTGGTTCTGGTCCTGCTCCTGCTCCTGCTCTTCAGGCTCAACTACAACCTCAACCTGCCCCTACCGCTGCAGCCACAGGCGCAACTACAACTACAACTACAGCACCAGCGAACCCCATGCCTAGCTACGGCTACGGCTACAACCCTACAGCCGGCGGGTACAGCTCCGGATTCACATCCGCATCCCAGAATCAGCAATTCCATCCACGAGCACACCCACACCAGCAGGCACACCCAAACTCAACGTCGACCCCCTATGCCGCACTCTACCATCCTCCTACCACCTCGTCACAACTCCCCATCTACCAGAACCAGGGCCATGGCGCCGACGAGTTTGACTCCGTCCAAGAAGACGGTGGGTTTCTGGCGAGCGCTAAGTCGTGGATAGCGAGTGCGGGGACGAAGCTGGCGGAGGTGGAGGCTGAGATGTGGAGGAGGATTAATGATGCTCATGATAAGTAGATGTGCTGTTGTGTATCTTCGTATTCATTCTTAAATATTGATCTGTGTTGTGTTGGTTGTTCCTATTTCTGTATCTGGTTTATGGCAGTATCGTCAATCTGGGATGGCTCATGGGGTGATTGGGTTCGTTGGATACATCGGTCTGGGCTTGGTTGCGTTTATTCGTTATACCTGAAATGTACTGGGATCTTCTGGTTGGACTGGTATGGGATGCTAGACGGTTCTCGATAGTTGTATATGCGATTGTATCTTTTGGGTTGGGTGATGTGAGGTCTTGGGTTCACATCAGATCAAGCATTTGTATAAGCCATTCTTCAGTTGTTTCGGGTCCTATTGACGAGTGAAGTGGACAAGCAAAGCAGGATATATTTCGACGGAAGGATACGGTGGACTACAGAGGACTACGGGTAGACTATGATCGCATAATTGGGATATATCATGCCAAAGGCAATGCTTCTTGTTTTTGTTTCTTGTATGTATATGTAGTGTTATATACTGCTGAAACCTGTCTGAGAGTAGTTCACCAGGAACATGCAGACATGTAAAGTCATCAAACTGAATATACAGCTGACCAAAGAGATTAAGTGGAGAGTCCCCGATCTTGCGCCAGGCACATGCATAAATAAATGAGATGGGAGCAGTATGGCATAAATAGACTGCAAAACCCAGATGTATAAAATGCAAAAGTGAAAGCTGAGTAGTGTGCACTCAAGCTTGGTATTAAAAGGGAGTAACACCCATAAAACCCCATACCCAGAAACTCCGGGGACCCGTCCATGTGAATTCCAGATCCCAATGCAATTAAAGACCATTCGATCGAGCCAGCCAGACCGCGAGTGCCGTGTTGAACATTTGGCAACCTGGTTTTCCTTGTCATAATAAATCGTAAAGAGTCGGGAGGATCGGGGATGATCGTCCCGCCTCCGAAACAATAGAAAGTCAAAATCAAGTCGTCAAAAGATGTACCCGAGTATAACCATCCGTACCGACGCCGTTTTTCCTGTTGCTGAAGTTCACATAGATCCAAGTCTTAACAACGCTTCCACCGCGGCGCGTTCTTCCTTGTTGCCAACCATGCCGTCAGGCACGGAAAAGCCAAGCTGTTGGATGGGAATATGTCGCGGCGCGGATTTCGCCAACGAGGACGGAGCGGGTCCCCCGCCTCGTAATAAAGGTGCGTTGCCATTTATGAACCCTCCTTCTCCGTTCAGCGAACGTGCGCGGAGCGCTGCGGCTCCTATCTGTGCCCAGTCCTCCTCGTCGGTGACATCCTCCTCACCCCAGTCTTCATCTGGGATTTCTTCATCGGGAGCCTCCGAAGACGAGCAGTATTCATGGTCGTCTCCGTCGAGAGACATCTTGTCTGCTTCGTGTTCCAGCATGCTGAGATCCCCACGTCCATATTCTCGCTCTGTATACGAGAACACGGCTGAATCACCAGTCATGCTGGTTCCATAGGTATATGCGGATTCTCGCCTGGTCGGAATCTCCATACCCAGCTGAGCAAACGAGTTCGAGAAACTGGCGGGTGGCGACGCGGTTGGATGCGAGGGGTTGCGCAAGGGTTCGCCACGGCGTCGCGCATCCCAGCGGCCCCAACCCACTTTCTCGAAGATGACATCGCCGTTTAAACCCCCTCCCTCATTCCCCCGGCCTTCCAAGGCTGCCACAACGAGTCTGCGCGCCTTAGCAGGCGGGATTCTGGAGAACCCAGGCACCGAAGTGGTCAGGTATGCCATGACATGACGGATAGCCAGAGGACCTTGGTTGAGCATGACCTCGGGCAGGTGATACCTGGCCAGCATGCTGGGGGTGATTTCTCCCACGTTATCCGAGACATGCGCGGACTGATGATGGTCACTTGCAGCGTCGCCCAGGTCGATATCTGAATCCACATGGGGCGAGGTGGCAAGCGGAGGAGATCCTGGACGGCGAAGATCTTGTTTCTTGAAAGCCTGCGGAGGAAGAGTCGGGGAGATGGAGTTGGGAGGCGTGGGCAACATCGCAGGATGTCCTGGACGGACAGAGTCACGTCGTCCGGAAGAAAAGCCGAAACGGGGCTTGGGGATATCAACAGAGGCCGTCTTGCCAGCAAGGGCCATGGCGATGCTGGATGAAGCTGTTTGAGGAGCCATAATGGTCAAGGGAAGTAATGGACTGAAGAGAAAATGATATGGTACTTCAGTGGGTGGCTAAACCTATCATCACATGAGTCAGAAGACCGTCCACCAACCATAAGACGCCGCAAGGGGGAACAGAACAATGGGACGGCGATGACTAAACAGGTAACTCGCAAATAGATGAACAAAGAATTTCAGGCACGAAAGAATAGGCCAGTAATCAAAAAAAAGGGCACAGATACGGATATGATCACTCACGTAGTACTTTGGGAGAAGAGATGGCAGTTCAAGCAGGAGATGCAGGCACAGTATGTGAGCTGAGTGAGATGCGAATACGACGCGCGGATGTTGGATAGATCAAGGCACGCGACCGTTCAGACAAAGAAGACTCAACAAGCGCGATGCTAGCAGTATGATAGTGTTCCTGGATGACTTGCTCTTGGATGGTAGAAAGAAGAGAGATATGAGGAGGAGGGGGAGGAAGGAGGGGGGAAAAAGTAAGTATGAGGATAGGATAGGATATAATAATACTTGCGATAATAATAATATCAGCAGGCGCAGTGAAGCGTGCCCGTAGTCCGTCAGCCGGCGTTGAGTCCGCGGGGGCCAGGGTATCGCGTATTTGCTGTATTAGGATTACAGCAAGTTGATGATCATGAGAAATGACGGTCGCAGTCTAGGCTGGAATGTATAAGTACCTGGTTATTGAGGAGTTGAAGTGAGGGATTATTACTGTTGTTTAAATCCTGTGAAGTACTTGGACTTAGTCTACATACTTCGGATGTCCCATCAGGGTACCATAGTTACTGCCCCGTACAGTCTCCATAATCGACAGTCCAGACGGAGTACTGCTCCATACAGATCCATACGGATGAGAATAGGTCCATGCCAACGAGACCGGCGCGTGGCCCTGGTAATTGGCCAGCAGCCCAGAGCTTCCCGGAGTAGGTCTCCTCCCCAAGTCTGAACAGCGCCGGGATGATCCGGAGCCACTGTGGACACTGTTATTACTTACAGTGTACATCTCTCTAGATAACCTTAGGTACCTCTCTTGACTGTACCTACTCGGTGGCTTACCTTGACAGATCTGAAAAGAAAACTGCGTCATAGCACTACAGAGTAGAAATCTATTAAGACAATGAGATATGATCAGTTTTCCGACATCCCACCCAACTGAACTATAATCAGATCGTACAACAGTATCGGAGTATCATGTACTATTCTGTACCTCTCTACAGGGTAACTAAGGTAGATGTACTCCGTATCTCACCGAAAACTCACCGGTAATGACTCTCGTCCAGTACTACGTAGACAACCAGGTCTCAAGGCTCAAGACACCCCTCAAGGATCGACAATTATGAATTTCCAACCGGTTGCAGCGTTACGGGCGTGTGTTTTCTTCTTCTTGGGGGGTCAAGGCAACAGGGTGCAACCCTATCACAACATTTGGTACATAGCAAGACGGGGCGATAAGCGTCCATGATTAGGGCACGTGGGATCCTCACCACAGCACATGCATGTCTATTACTCCCATGACTGGCTGCGCTTATCCACCCCCCTCAGGATCAATTCAGAATGAATGTCTTGATCATTGGTGGTCAATCATTCCCGCCTCAATGTTAAGAGTTTGATTCTTCAGTATCTGGGCGGGGGAAGTTACAACTTCAGTAGATCTATGAAACCACCACATCACCAGGCCCCGCAAACAGGCGATACTTGAGGTGTGAGTATTCGCCAAGTACCTGACTCCATTTGAATTAAACCGAGCTACTACTAAGGTAGTCTCTGTCAGTACGTCACACCTGGTCTATAAGCAGGGTAGGTAATACTGGGTTCTGGACAGGCAAGCATTGACCTTTGGCATCATATATGTAATCCAATAATGTTCCTAAGCAAATTGTCTATCTATTTGATTCTGATGCCTTCTATCCATGTTTTCACTCAATTGCATCTAGATCCTCAGTAATATAGACAGTAATATAGAGAGGTACCAGTTGCCGAGAATCCGGAGCCCAGCCCAGACAGTGGGGGTTACAGTCAACGCACTGTCCTGTTCAAGCCCTTATTTACTCGGCTAGAAAATCCCTCGACATGCTATTTCAGTGGAGACTTCTGTGCCCTTCAGTTTCTTCTGCGGATTGTCAGGTGAAACTAGCCCTATTATTTACGAAGCATAGCTGCGTGGTAAAGCTGCCATTGACTTACTGAACCTCGAGAACGTGAGATACGTGGTGCGCGTGGGAGAATTTCCCCCTAATAGTTGTCCCTCCAACTGCCATTGGTACTCCGTACAGCAATCTGATCCTCTCAATCTGTATATATTCACATCTTTCGCTGTTTGAATCTCATCTCCAAACAGACTGAGAGTACCTCGGCTCGCTTAGTTGGAAATCTCAGAGTATATTCCTCTTATACTTGGCAGATCATCTACGGAATGACGCAACATCAGATCTTATGCTCTACTCGGTGGGGACAGCGGAAGAAGATTCCCCTGCGAGATACTTGACAATAGTATTTGTGAATACAGAACCGTTGACTTGCGTGTCCGATATGATGCTGCCGCCTGCGATCCGCTGCGCTCTTTCAAGCTAACTCTCACCCCCCGAAAGAGACGGAGCAAGAGATCAAAGTGACTCGAGCGCATCGTCCTCAAGATTTGGCACGTGACTAAACCACATGACCGTAGATAAGGACTATCCCACCTCTCTTCCGATCTTATCGGGCTCAACTGACATCCGATCGAAATAATCACAACCCGCAATACCTTCGGATCTCAACCTCCCCTGTGCGGGGTCGACATTTGGCAAGAAAATGCTCAATGTTCATTCGCTCTGAACTTGACATCTCCTAATTATGATTTGCAGTGCTCGCTTGCAGTGCCGAATGATTCTCTGCATGCATCCACCCGACGGGCGGTAGCTCCGACTCGAATCGGACATGGCCATGTGCTTTCCCGCATCACCTTCTCCATTCAATGATCTGCTTAAATAGATTCTCTGGACGATCTACTTTTAAGTCATTATTATCTTCCAAACGTACTTTAAATTGTAAAGCATCAACTACTTGGATGAGCATAAAACCATATCCGACAAACAGAATCCGCACTCAACCCGCAGGATTGCTGTCTAAACACAGAGACCGAGAGTCAACATGACGGACGCAGAAACAGACAACTCGTACTCGCCTGTGCAGGAAGCGCGTCGAATCTTCTCATACCTCTGCGACCAAGCCGAACGACTCAGTTTGCCCCCCCAGAGCGCGGAGAAGAAGGATGCCGTGTCATTCTCATCTTCCCATAACGAGATCTACTACCCGATCCCGTTCAAAGAAACAGAGACATTGGCCGCATTGAAGGGCGTCGAAGGTGTTGTCGCTAGCGCAATTGCTGACTTGCGATTCGGTGAACAGAAGCGCAATGTGAAGATCAACCTGGAGAAGGCGACGGCTTTCGGATGCCAGGCATACATGGCCAAACTTGATGGACTTTCTAAACTGGATCCAGCTGTCAAGTCGAGATTGAAGGGTAGGTTGAGTTGAGCTTGAAGATACCGTTTCTCTGGAAACTGATTTGTTCAGACACCGACCTGCTTGCGGCCCAGTCGAATGGGTACCGTCGGATGTCCGCCAACCTTTACAAAACCAAGAACGAGGGCGAATTCTTTCACATCCATGGCTCCCTCGAGGCTACGACGACGCTCAACATGATTGGATTGGAGGGTCACCGTCCCGATCTCACAGACTACGAAGAGATTATCAAGGCCATTGAGAGCCACGTGCAAAAGTACAGCGCTGCCGAGCTAGAAGAGATGAACAAAGAGAGGAGACAAGCTGGGGTCACGGCGTACAAATACGAGGATTTCATCAATACTCCCCATGTTCGCACAGCCAATCTTTCCGTTGCAGCTGGACCATAAGCTGATTGTTTCATAGGGACGGCTTAATGTGCAGGAACCTCCATGGAAGGTCAAGCGACTTACTGGTGACCTGCCTCCGACACCCTTCCCCGCTAGTCGCAGTGGAAGCAAAAAGATCCTAGAGGGCGTCAAGGTGCTGGAACTCTGCCGTATCATCGCAGGGCCAACCATTACACGAATTCTGACCGAGTACGGCGCAGATGTCTTGAAGATTACTAGCCCTAATCTTTCGGATGTCCCCTTTTTCCAGGTTGATGGTAACATGGGCAAGCATGCCGCGGATCTAGATCTGAAAACTACAGAAGGACGTCGTCAGTTCGAGGAACTTTTGGCTGATGTAGATGTGCTTGTCGATGGCTATCGCCCAGGTGCGCTCGAGAAATTGGGATACGGTCCAAACGCTCTCGCCTCGCTGGCGGAGAAGCGTGGCAAGGGCATTGTATACGTCAATGAGAACTGCTTTGGCTACGAGGGAGAATGGGCCAGCCGCCCTGGTTGGCAGCAAATTGCCGATTGCGTAAGTTCTCACTCCAAATACGGCAACATGGGCAAAACTGACTCTTTTCAGGTAACTGGTATCGCATGGGCTCAGGGGCAATTCATGGGCCTCTCCACTCCAGTGGTACCTCCGTTCCCAATCTCTGATTACGGCACAGGTTGCATGGGCGCCATTGCTGCCCTCACAGGTCTCTACCACCGTGCGAAAACCGGCGGATCCTATCACGGAATGGCCTCTCTGATGCATTATGACCTCTTGCTCTTTGCCGTGGGCAAGTATTCGGATGCTGTGCAGGAGAAGATGCGAGCTGCTCAACTGCCGGAATTTTTCAAGCTTCGGCACTGCGACAGTGTGGATCGCATCTCCTCGACTGTCCTAAAGATCATGCAGGCGCGGTTTCCGCATCTCTACGTAGCCCCCGACGTGGCTGGACAGGAGGCGCTCACGGAAAAATGGTTCTCCAAGGCGTACAATGCCGACATTGAGGTTGTCAAACCTATTGCAGAGATTGACGGGGTGGACAACAGCTTCTCGCGCGCCAGTCGACCGAACGGCTCCGATCGACCTAGATGGGAGGACTTCCAGCTGCCCGAGGAGGACTACAAGAAGGCTTAAGGAAGCAATTGTACATCTGTATCAATCAAATCACACACTCTAGACTAGCATCTTCCTACTGAAATGCCTGCCTTCATACTCTGGTCTGATTGATCGGCTATGTCTTGAGTCCGCAATCCAGCCCGCATCTCCGATACAACCCATATCGGAACGTCGGATACGGACAGTGAGCATCGGCCCGAACCTGCCATATACCGCAATTGACATCACAGCGTAGATTAGAATCAAACACTGTAGATAAATCGTTCAGATAATCACTCTCACAAAGCAAATAGACAACCCACTTCAGATCATCACATCATATCATACCCCTGTATAATCAAAATGTCCTACAAAATCACCACCGACCCAACCCTCTCCCCACCCTCCGCAAATGCCATGATCTCCTTCATGGAATCCTTCTACCAAATTAGCGACAATGAGTCCCAGCACGCGCAATACGTCGCCAGCTTCACACCAGACGCAACACTAATCATGGGTCCTAAGGTCGCGAACGGAGCAGACGGTAGCCTGCCCCCCTCCCCAAAAACTAAAGGCCTTGCTAACTGGGTTGTACTGGTATAGAAATCCTAAACCTGCGCCACAGTCTCTGGACGCATGTGGCGTCGAGGAAACATACCCCGCAAAAGATCTATTTCGGGGGCGAGAGGGAGCTCATGCTGTATGGGACGGTGAGGTATGTGCTTAAGGCGGAGCCCGGGAAGGAGGTGGAGGTTCCGTGGGCGGGGAGGGTGGTTTTTGACGATGGGGATGAGTTAAAGATGAAGTTTTATCAAGTTTATTTGGTAGGTTTCGTTTCTCTTGCGTTGCGGGGTGGGAATTGGGATGGGCGAGGCTGATGTTGTTTACATTAGGATACGGCGGCGCAGTCTGGCAAGAAGTGATTGTAGATTACGTAGCGGGGAGGAAAGATGGACGTGAGTATATCATATCCCGTTATTAGACAGTCCTCTGTCTGGCTATTTACAGAGGAGACGTGCTTTCGTCTCTCCGCTGGCCCATCCCATCTGGTCATCATCGACAACTGTCGGAATCGAATGGAGTAAAAAAAGGGTAAAAAAAAGTTTCATTCCTCTCCCGCTGAATCCATAGTGTATCAATCCAACTCATCCATGTTGCCGACTTGTATGTAACTTGACCGGTTCAACTCTAGCCACCCAGCCTTTTCCTCTTGTAATCTTAAGACAATTTCTTAGACAAGGAAAACACCAGAGGTTCAAGATGAAGACATCAGGGACTTTTTATTGTTTTAGTAGGAGACTAATTTACTCCTCGTCCTCCTCCTCCTCGTCAACGGTGGTCTTGGCAATCCGGTCAAGATCCCGCTGGCCGGCCTGGGTAATGCGGCGACCGCCCTTCTCCTCATCGTACTCAAGGACACCGATCTTCTCGAGAGACTGGATGACCTTGCGGTCGACGGAGCCGGAGGCATCGACGTGGTGGTTGGGGCGGGAGCCACGGTTCTTGGTCGAGCCGTGGACCTTGCGCAGGCGGCCGACACCGACGGTCTTGCGCATGTAGATGTGACGGGCAACGGCAGCGGCGCGGACGTAGTACCTGTAATCATCAGCTGTTAGATGGTGGTCGAATGCAGATCAATTGAGATCAATCGTACCAGTCGGCGTCCTGGGGAGGGAGCTCGTTGGAGGAAGAAGTCTTGACAGTGTCAACCCATCCTAATAACCATCAGTTTCAGGTGTCCTGTGAGAAGCTTGTTGCGGAGGTCGAACGAACCAGGGATGGGGAGCTTGCCCTGACGCTTCAGGAAAGCAGAGTAGGCAGCGATGAACTTCTGCGCCTGTAGGTAGAAAAATCACTGGTTAGCACAGTTCTCGCCCGGCACATGTGTCTTCGTCTTTGGTTCCTGCTCTCTCCTGGATTATTTGGCAATGGTAGTCCCAGCGAAATTTTCGTCCATAGTCTCGTTTCCCATGCAGTCGAATGTGCGCTGTCTTGTGTGATTGATTCTTCCGACCGTATCCAGTCCCATCAAAATTTTGACATCCTCAAGTCGCGGATTTTGTTGTGAAGTCCCATATGCGCGAACAGGCGACAGGCTGAATATCAAAGGATGCCCCTTCCGTAGCATCCTTATCCCGTTGATCAAATTCCTCCTCTTCCCATCGCCAACAATCCATTGCGGCCTCTCCGCCAAGAGAGAAACAGGTGTCGCAGACTGGAGGGTACTGAATAGAGTAAACTTACGTCCACATCGCGAACGGTGACACCACCCATTTTGACGACTTGTGACCTCGAAGGTGAACGGTGGGAGTTGAAGAGGAAGCCGGGGGGGTGAGAGGGATGGGCGTCGTTGTCGTCGTTGGAGGGAGTCGGAGTCAGGTCAAACCTCGAAATTCGCACACACACAGAGACAGCCTTTCGCTGGGCCCGTTCTGTGTGGGCGCTTTCGCTTAGCCTGTTCGGCCGTACCCTAACCGTCTACAGGCTGTGGATGCCTTAGGCTACCTGGCAGGACATGCGGCCAATTAGCGATCGGCTCGGCACTAGGTACCTTATTACTACAACAGTCTACAACAAGGTCTTGAATCGATCTAGCCTTGAATTCAAGGCTCCAAGGCTAGCTATGTGAATTCACCAGCAGTTATCGCCGACTATTCCCTGTCCATGCATAAACAAAGCTCACGCTGCATCTCTTTCCGGGAGTCGGCCAGTCAATGCGAGTTTACCATGTATACCTTCCGTAGCTGGTGTCTGTAGTGTAAGTGCCACGTTGACTTCCAATGACTTACTTTCGTTGATATGAAGGAGTTGGAAAGCTCGCACCGGTCATACTTGTCCTCCTTGGCTCGGACTTGCCAGTCCAGCTGGCACAAGTGGTTACCGCTCAATAGGTCACGAGGGGACGGCACCTCAATAGTCAACGAAACAGTAATCGTCTGACTTCATGACTTTCATAGACAATTTCGCCTCGGTCACCTGAGGAGAAGAGCGGAGACGAGCAGATTAAAGCTAGCTGGATATTGACAGATTGCCCGCTTACGTAGCAAGGGCAGCGCAGATGGCGCGACGATCAGGACTTTGGGTGTTTGATCCAAGAAACCAATCGTGTCTAGCGATCGAATCTCCAGATGACAAGCTCGCGGTTCGCATTTTCTCCTATCACGAATTTCTCATTTCCGCAAATCTTTCCCTTACCCGCGAGTTCAAAAACATCGTCGGGTTTCAAGACAATCCGAGAGTATGGCGTCTGTATACTCAAGTATATCTTCGAGTCAAAAGGCCAGCCCAATGGAGACAGATGCAAGGCAAATCCTGCCTTTGAGTTTTTATCATAAATCTCGGAAATGACAGTGTACCAGAACTGTTTGCAAAGCAGGCCGAGAGGCCTTGTCTGTAACCCGTTGCTCCCGCGGTAAGGAGATAAGATGTAGTCAACGTCTCGCCTCCATACTGGTCCATCGCCAATCAGGGGAATGCTCGTGATCTGCACCTGAGACGTCCACTCCGTCGGTCCGACGAGTCGGTCAAGCGGTCCTGTGCACAAGTTCTCAATAATTTCTATGGCTTGGCCATCATCGGTTATTTCTAGACCTTGCATGCCCGGTACTCCTCGTTGTCTGACAGAGAAGAACCCTAACTCTCTAAACCCGAAACGAGAGACAATGGAGGGAGCTTGATCCTGCTCTTCGCTCCGTTGCCGCCCTGTAGGATCCAGAGAGGGCCTGTAGGGACATGGCTTTGAAATGTCCCAGACAAACAGGGACTCGATTGGGGCATCCTCGTCGGCAGTGTACAAGCTGCGATTGGGTTGCCATATGTAGATCACATAATGTGTCTTGTTATGAGTGGAGTAGAACCGATCCCTTTCGCTCAGAGGATGGCCAAGAAACATGATCTTCCATTCGTTGCGAAACGCGACGTTCCAGCTGCCATTGGCTTCTTGGGTCACGTCAAATGAAGATGCAAAATGACGATGGACCCCGTCGCTGTCATTCAGCCAGTGGAAGGCCTTTGGTTCAGCCCATTCCACTACAAGGACTCGTTTCTGCAGGCGAATTCTCCTAATCACCTTACCGATAATCAAGAACGGTACCATTACCTGTTTACCGGTCTCCACATCCATGACGACCAAAGAGGAGTAATCTGCGCTGGGGTACACAAGCAAACCATCCTCGTAGGTCCAGAACGTTTCGGGATAGAGGTAATCAACCCGCTGCATGAGATGACTGGCATGGCTATCCCAAGGCTGTACCTGAAACCACTCTCTTTCTCCTGTGACTCCAAAGTCATCACAGAGCTTGAGCTTTTGGACCGACCTTGGCTTGCCCCGGCTGAGATGATCGTATCTCGAGGCAACCTTGTCGAACAGTTCGCGCCAATACTCGCTGCTCTGAACCGTGGAGAGTAGCTCGTCCAACGACTGTTTGCCTTTCAGCGCCCGAACCTCTGGAGCTCTGGGAAACAGTTGAATCAACAGGCGAACCAGATACACTGGGTTGGTAAATGCTTCGTTCCAATGTTTTGAAACCCGACGACATCGTACAATATCCTTGGCATCAAGATACTGCAAGATCATCCAGAAGACTTCCAATGGCATGTGCAAAAGGTCCACTGTCCCTGAATTTCGTGGAGACTCCGACATACTTGTTCCCGCCATTATTCAAGTGTGGGGAATGTCAGAGTATCGGAGAGCAATTAGATATCATCACCAGAGAAATGGAAGTTGAGAGATCGTCGATAGTAGTCTCGATATCGAAACGCGAGCATGCTAGTCAATTAAAAGACTAGGTAAACAAAGCTGTAGCCGAATAAGCCATTGGCGTGGGGGAAGCTGGAGTCGGGAGCATGATTTGTTTGCATCATGGCGGAGTTGTTTTGTTTAATCTCCGCCGTCACATGCCAAGAGCTTCAGGACACCTTGCTTCAAACCCCAGACAGACAGCTCTAAATACGCCTGCTGTCCATTTGGACAATCATGATACTTGTCTGAAGTGCTTTGCTATCAACTACTCACTATTCACTAATCACCCGAGTTACAGGCATTAAATTATCTCCATTATGATGCAACCAAGCTCTGCACTTCTGCTGGTCGCATCGCTTCTGGCGGCTTCCTCCGTCAACGCAGATGGACTGTACACTAAAAAGTCTCCTGTGCTGCAGGTTACTCAGAAGACCTATGAACAGCTGATTGCTAACTCTAATTACACATCGGTAAGATGGCTTCGAAGCGTATTGTGTCGTAGGGTGTCTGTATGCTAACGCTTCTCCCAGATCGTAGAGTAAGCTCCCCACCTCCCAATTAGTCTCATCGACAAGCGTCTAAAACGTATGCGCACTACTCTAGATTCTATGCTCCTTGGTGTGGCCATTGTCAGAACCTCAAGCCTGCATACGAAAAGGCAGCCAAGAACCTGGAGGGGCTGGCCAAGGTAGCGGCTGTGAATTGCGACGACGATGCCAACAAGCCCTTGTGTGGTCGGATGGGCGTACAGGGTTTCCCAACTCTGAAGATCGTCACACCTTCCAAGAAACCCGGCAAGCCAAAAGTGGAAGATTATCAGGGAGCAAGAAGCGCAAAGGCGATCGTCGATGCTGTTGTGGACAGGATCCCGAATCATGTGAAGAGGGTCACGGACAAGGATTTGGATCAGTGGCTCTCCGAGGACAAGGAAGCTCCCAAGGCTATTCTGTTCACTGAGAAAGGTACCACGAGTGCCCTCCTCAAAGCCGTCGCCATTGAGTTCCTGGGTTCCATCAAGGTTGGCCAGATTCGCAACAAGGAGTCAAGCGCCGTCGAGAAATTCGGTGTCAAGGAATTCCCTACCCTCGTCCTGGTCCCTGGCGGTGATAAGGAACCCATCATCTACGATGGCGAACTCAAGAAACAAGCCATCGTCAAGTTCCTCAGCCAAGTCGCAGCTCCAAACCCCGACCCGGCCCCCGTCTCATTTGAGGCCAAATCCTCCAAATCCTCCAAATCCCCCAAGTCCACCAAGTCCGCCAAGTCGTCGAAGTCCTCAACCATCCTCAACGAGGAAGCAGAAAACTTGAAACCTACCGAATCCCCCGACCCCAAGGTCGTCCCCGACGACGCTACAGACTCAAAGCCCGCCCAGGTCCCGATCCAGGCACCACCCATTCCCGTACTCCCTACGGCTGAGGAACTCGAAGCCGCCTGCCTGAAGCCTACATCTGGTACCTGCGTCCTAGCGCTCCTTCCCGAAGCCCGCGAAGCGGACGCAGAAATGCCCAGTCCCGCGAAAGAGGCGCTAGTTAGTCTATCGGAGATCTCGCACAAGCACGCCCTGCGCAAGAGCAAGCTTTTCCCGTTCTACAGTGTCCCTGCCATCAACAGCGGGGCCAAGACTCTGCGGGCTGGGCTGGGATTGTCCGAGGGCCAGATCTCGGTTGAGATCATTGCTCTGAATGGACGCAGGGGTTGGTGGAGGCGCTACGACGCGTCGGAGGCTCAGGATTATGGCGCCGTGTCTGTGGAGGCGTGGATCGACGCCATAAGGCTGGGTGAGGGTTCGAAGAGCAAGTTGCCCGAGGGTGTTATTGTCGAGCAGAAGGAGGAGTCTGAAAAAGAGGCTGACAAACAGGCCGAAAAAGAGGCTAAGAAAGAGACTGATGAAGAGGCTGATAAAGAGAAGGGTGACCATGATGAGTTGTAGTATTTCGAGATAGTTTGTATGTTATGTATCCTCGAACAAAAGGAGCGTTTTTGACAAAGGATGAGAGTATGCGATATGCGAACCTCTATTCAAACTTTTTGGATATACAAGGCATATATACAGAAACGTAAAACCTCTTCGCAAGAAAATACCATAACACCGTTCTTTCATGCAAGACTGGAATGATTCAGGTTCAGGTGAATACTTCATGCCTTCTTTCGCCCTTCGGTTCCCTTCTTGATGATCTTCTGTCTTTTCGACTCGATCTCCTGATCGTAGATCTCCCGCGCGGTCTCGCCCTTCTTCCGCTTGCTGGGTTTCGCGGTCTTGATGCTGACGGTTGAGGCGCCTCCGCTGCGAATCTGCTTCTCGGCTTCCTCCCACGCGGCGCTGCCGTTATCGATCTCGTATCTGGAGGCTAGAAATCAGTTATTGTTCCTCCGACGACGGGGGTGTCCACAGAGTGTTGTAAGAGTGGGGTTGACTCACTTGTCCAGAGGCAGAGAATCAATCAAGGCTCTCTGCTTCTCTCTCAGCTCTTCGTCGACCTGCTGGCCGCCCTCGCGCAGCTCGTCTTCCAGACCTGTGTCGAGGGGCTTGAACCGCTCGTCGACAATCTCGTCGTGCGCATCGGCCGAGGGCTGCGCAACGGGCACCTTCTCCGCGGGGAGAGTCTCCGCGACGGCGCCCTCGACCAAGCCGCGGAAGTGAGTGGACATCTTGCGGACGATCTTGAGGAACATGGCCAGAAGCTGCGATGAGGGTAGGTTCAGTTCCTTCTCGACGTCGTCGAGGTTCTTGCGCTGGAGGCCGATGGCGAGCAGAATGGACTGCTGCACGCCCGAGAGGTTGACCTTGCCGCTCACGCGGCCCGAGAAGTAGTACTCCGCAATGGTGGGGACCATATCTAGGATGACATGGTAGTCCAGCAGGTTGTTTGCGTAGCTGTCAAGGCGCTTGAGGTCGAAGGGGGAGAAGGCCGCGTCGAGATCGCTCTTCTTGAGCAAAGAGGGGGTGTACGAGGTGTCGAGCTTAGCACCTGCAGTGGCGGATTCGCAGATGCTGAGGGAGAGAACAGAGGGGAATTCTCGAAATTGGTAAGAGAGCAAAGCCAGGAACCGCTTGTGGAAGTCCCGAGCAAACTCTCCGAGCCAGCTAGCGTCGCTGGCTGCGGAGGCGAGTGTGCGCAGCATCACACAAGAATGTTCACCGGTCAATTCGTTTGGAGTCTGGCGAAGGTAGACAGGAACGAATGAAGAGCGTTTCCAGAACTTGTGAAGAGGGGGTGTTAAACCGTAACTGACGCCGACGTAGTCCAGTGCGTCTGGCCGACGCTCGGACAGCTTGCCAAACAGAGGGGGCATAGAGCGGATATCCCGAACATGAATGTTGTCATCAAGGAGAGACGAGTTGGCGAGCTCTTCGTCAGTGACCCTGACCATCTCTTCCTGTGTGTCAGGAATTTTCTCGGAAAGATCCGTAAACTTGCCCTCGTAGAAATCAATCAGGAGCTCCAGCGCGCGGGATCCATAACCCATGTTCATATATTCTGGGTTGGTTGCAATCCGTACAATTCGGGCGCCGGAGAGACTGGCAAAGTCCTCATCCTGGTACTGCTGGCTGACCAGCCAGGGAATCAAGTCGCCACCGGCACGTTGGCCACGACTCAAGCTGTTCAGAACACTTTGTCTGCTGATACGACCCTCCAGAGCAACTTGAATGACGCATAGAGGCTCAGGAAGCTTAGCAGCGTCCTCGTCGATGGGGGGCACCAACACGAAGAGCTGATGCGCAGGCGCATCGCTCATCAGTTGAAGATCGTTAGGAGTGTTCTTATAGTGGCTGGCAACGTACAGAGCCATCATCTGCTGCAAGAACTTTTCAGAGACCGGGTGGAAAGAGAATAATGTGTCTCGGTTGACTTGCAGGAGTTGGCATTGTGACGGGTGCGGGCAACCCTGTGTGTTGATCCTCGACTTTGGCAACGTCGCATCCAGGCAGAGGACTTTGTTCAGCCACTTCTCCACTGAATCCCCAGGGGCGTAACGGATAGGTTCCGACAGAGTAATCTCTCTGAGCGAGCGTCCACCCAAGTTCTTCTCTGCGCCCTTGGCAGCCTTGCCAGTGGCTCTATCCGCGATATCTGTATCGTCCTGACCGCTGGCCTTCAGACCACCCCTCGACTGCTCGCGAAGCTGTTGGATCAGCTTCAAAGAGAGCGACCGACCAGTACCTTCGTAACCGTTGATAGTGGAGGCCATGAATACCAGGTATGGACCCATCAGTTTCCGCACCAGGGGCAGAGGAATGGCTGCTGCCTCATCAATGACTAGAAGCTCCGCCTGGCCGAGAACATGAGCATCCTGGGGCTGAATATATTGAATGGTCTGGCGATGCTGGCGATGGATGTTGACTCTCACAATAGCCTTATTGAAGTCCGGGTTGGTGGATTGAAGGATGGTGTAATCAACGTGATCGAGGTATCCAAGAGCATCAAACCCTTTGAAAATGAATTCAAACAGGGTCTTCAAGTTCTCCGGGCTAGGGGAGGTGATGAAAATGTTACTGTATCCGTGAGCAACCGCTGCTGCGATGGCAACACCAAGAGCTGCCGACTTTCCCCGACCTCTAGCAGCGGTCAAGGTGACGGTGCTGCGGAGGGTTTTCTCAGCGATCACATCGACGAAGGTCAACAGCGCCTTTGCCTGGTCAACAGTGCGAGCTAGACTGACCAAAGAGCCCACCGGCTGAGTGTCTGCTAAGCTATCCTTGATCTCTTTCAATTCTTTCTTTGTGCCTGTGTTCTCGTCAAGGGTCTCTGGCGGTGGGAGAGGCTTCACGTTCTTCCCACCAGAGATTGGAAGGACATTCAACTCATCATCAACCACCAAGCATGAATCACAGCTGCCAAGAGAAAGGATAAAGCGCTCGTTGAAGCGGGCGACCACATCATCATGCGCTTCGGTCCTATACCTCGAATGAA